GGAAAAAGCTCCAACAGCGGGGGCGAGCTCCGTGTCGAGCCCCCTGCCCGGCTGATCTTTTAAATAAAGAGCCGAGCATCAATAAAGGCGCAGACCCTGCCCATCGCAGCGGGGCCCGGGGGCCACCTCGTGGCGGCGGGTGGCGATCGGCTCCGAGCCGGGCACGGACCCCCGGGACCCCCGACACGGACCTGGCCCCCCTCTAGCATAGACTGGAGCATTTTTGGGGAATCTCTCTCATTCTGCCTCACCGAGGTTCCACTGCTCAGGTTTGCTGAACTGTTGCAGTTTACAGAACTGCAAATCAAATATTTATATTTATCACACTGGGCCTTCTCTTCCTTTCTTCTCCACAGTTATTTCTTTAATAAATTCTTTATTTCTTAAAAAATTCACACCGAAGGGCTCATTGCTTCCCACTGGCTCCAGCAGAAGATTGTCATTGCAATTACCTTGTGAAAGGTGCAGTGATGGAGAGAAACATCTGTCCCCATGACATGAATTTTTTAGGAGAAAGCTTCAGTTTATCAACAAGCACGACTTGAAACAGAGCAAGGACAAACTCCCTGCAGGCATCAGTACCTTAGAAATTAAAGTAAATTAAAAGGTGCTGAAGAGGCTTGGTGACAGGACAAGGGGGAATGGTTTTAAATTAAAAGGTGTGCTGTTTAGATCGGGTATTGGGAAGAAATTGTTCCCTGTGAGGCTGGGGAGGCCCTGGCACAGAGCAGCTGTGGCTGCCCCATCCCTGAGGGTGTCCCAGGCCAGGCTGGAGCCATCTGGGACAGTGGAAGCTGTCCCTGCCATGGCAGGGGTGGGACTGGATGAGCTTTAAAGTCCCCTCCAACCCAAACCTTGCAATGATTTTATGATTAATTGATGTGGTTTCCTGACCCCCCCCCCCCACGCAAGCCTGCAGGGAGGCTCTGCTGTCCCAGGCTGTGAGGAGGAACCAGCCCGGCCCTCGCCTGGGGTGAGCAACCAAGGAGGATTCCATGGGAAACCCGGGACCCGAGGCTCCCAAACTGTGCCTCCTCTGGACTGGTGTTTATCTTTGAAATAGCTGAAGGCTCGGGTTACAAAGCAAATATGAATGAAACTAAAGGAAACGGAGCAACGAAATGGGTCAGTCATTTTCCTTTGACCAAATTCCTCTGTGGAGAAAAACTTGGCTTAAAAGGCTCCTTTCCCCAGATGTGCTGAGACGAGCCCAAGCAAGGGGACGCCGAAGCTGGGAAAACCCCACAGAGCAGCAGCTTTGAAGCAGCTTTGATCTGTGCTTACAGGGCCTGATGGATTTAATTCCCACCCCCAAAACCCCTTGTTAGCTGGGGTGAAGGATGCAGGAGCAGATTCTGGGAGATGCTGAATGAATCCTTTTTCCAAGTGGGAAATTTCGCAGCCAACGCTTAGCCAGGAGCAGGGAAAGGCCTCTGCTGCTCTCCAGGTTTCTCAGTGAAACTCAGGACTCAGTGAGAGGCACGGGGAGCTCGACAAGAGTTTTATTTATAAAGCTGCCAGCGCCGGTGTAGGTTTACTCACTCTCCCATCTGGTGACTGTCACTGCCACCTCCTGACAGACGCTCAGCTCAGTCTCTTGCTGCTAATGACATAAACTTTGATTAGCTGGATCCGCTGCTTCACCCAGCTATTGATCAGCCACGGGGTAAGAACTGCCTCTGGAAAACTAGGAGCCGTTTTATTGGCTTGATTAAAAAACCTGAGAGGATTTTATTGATCTCAGAAGGTGCTGAGGTGGCAGAGGTGGAGCAGATGGCTCCTGCTGCGGGGTGGTTTGCCTTTGTGTAGGCACACACAGAGGCCACAGTGTGCCCTTATCTGTTCTTCCTTTCACTGTCCTGTCCCTTTTTTGGACCTTTTAGGACCTTTTTAGGATTCTTTCTTGTGTTAGCAGCTGCTTGTGGAGGACGTGGTGTAGGTCCTGTGTACCATGATGTTCCTTCATCCCTTCTCCAGGGCACACTCCCTCCCTTTTGTGGGACAGCTGGGTAAGAGGGATGGATGTCAAAAAACACATTCTTTACTTAGAAAACAGGGATCATAAGAGTGCCTTTTACATCCCTAAATGAAATAACTTGATTTCCTGTGGCACTCTAGCAGAAGGAATGATTGAGGGATTTTAGTGGATGTTCAAGGGCAGGTTGCACCTCAGTGTGGATCTCTTCTCTTTTAGCCTCATCTTTGTTGGATTCTGGGATGAACACAGACATAGGAGTTAATTTGTTAACATTAGGACAGGCTTTACTGTTTCTGGACTTGCTTCCCATCCCCTGCCGCTCTCTGTGCTGGTGCTGGTTACACCTCCTGTCTGCTGGGAAGCGCTTGTAGACGAGAGATGGTGGATGAGGGCTGGGGCAGCGTGCTCGGGCAGGATGAGAGCAGCCAGCCGTGCTCGGAGCAGCCCTTTGCCACCTCAGGATGCTCTCGGGGCAGCCAGGAGACGCCAGGCGTGGGTGGGACGCTGTCACTGGCTCAATCGTGCAGTATCACAGAATGCTTCGGGTTGGAGGGGATGTGGAAGATCATCTCATTCCACCCCTGCCATGGGCAGGGACACCTTCCACTGTCCCAGGTTACTCCAGCCTGGCCTGGGACACTTCCAGGGATGGCGCATCCACAGTTTATCTGGGCATCTGTGCCAGGGTTTCCTCACCCTGACAGGGAAGATTTTTTCCTTAGCATCCAGCCTAAACCTTCTCTCTTTGAACCCGAGCCCATTCCCCCCCGTCCGGTCGCTCCACGCTTTTGCCCGCAGCCTTTCCCGTTGTCACTGGGAACACCGCGACCTGTTGCCATCCCGCCGGGGCTGCAGCGGACCGGGGACACCGGCGGTGGCGGGCCCGGGGGTCTCCGGTACCGCCGGGGGACCGATCGCCCCCGGCGCCCCTCGGGCAGCGGCGGGGCCGGTCCGGCGGGCGCAGGCTCAGCCCCGGGGCCGCCCCGCCCCGTCCCTCCCCCGGCGGCCGGGGCGCTGACATCAGAGCCGGGCCGGCGGGAGGAGGAGGACGAGGAGGAGGAGGGAGGAGGAGGAGGAGCCCCGGCGCACCGGAGCCATCGCTCTTGTCGGGGCCGGGGCGCACCGGCGGGGGGCGGCGGCGGCGGCGCTGCTGCTTCACCCCCCGCACCCCCGGCCCATCCCGCGCGGCCTGCGGGGCTCCGCCGCCCTCCCGCCTTCCCGGAGCCTCCCCGGAGCCCGCCCCGAGCCCGCCCGGAGCCCGCCCGGTGCCCGCCATGCTCTCCGGGGCGCCGCCGCCGCCCGCCGGCTTCCCCAGCCCGCCGCCGCCGCAGCCGCCGCCGCCGCCGCCGCCCGCCGCTCCCCCGCACGGGCCGCCGCCGTTCCCGGGGAAGGGCGGCCTGCAGATCCGGAAGAATGCCATCACGGACGACTACAAGGTCACCACGCAAGTGCTGGGGCTCGGCATCAACGGGAAAGTTTTGGAGATCTTCAGCAAGAAGAGCGGCGAGAAGTTCGCGCTCAAGGTGCGCGGGGACCCCGCGCCGGGGGCCGGGGGGACGCGGGGACCGCGCGGGCGCTCGGCCGGGAGGGGCCGGAGCGGCGGCGGCAGCGGTGGAACGGCTCCGCTGCCGGGGGAACGCGGTCCCGGCGGGGCCGGGGCGGCAGCGGGGCCGGCCGGACAAGGAGCTGCCGCCCGCCCCTCCGGCCGCGCTTTGATCTCGTCTTTCCCCCCCGTTACGGGCAGCGAGACGCGGCTTTGCAGCTTTGTAGTGGGAAACGGAGCGAAATGACATCTTCGTAGCCCGAGGGGGGCTGGGGGGAGGCAGGAGTGGAGGGGAGCGGCCTGGCTGGGATCCCCGCGGGGGATGCTCAGCTTGGAATGCATCCCCGAGCGTGGGGGGCAGCGCGGACCGTGGGGTTTCCTCCGTGGTGTGTGCTGTGCAACTGCTCGCTGTCCCCTTCCATGTCCCCTCCCGGCTCTTAACACCGAGCGACAGTCCTCCCCCGCTTCCCACCGGGAATATTTCAGCGGTGCGGTGTTAGCCCTTGTCCCTAACTTGCTTCTCTTTGACAGGCGTAGATAAACAGTGGCTACGAGGTGTAGCACAGGCTCTAGGTGATGCGGCCCTTCTCCTTGTTTTCAAAGGAGGTTTTTGAGCAAAGAGGGGAGCGTGTCTCCCTGCCAGCCAGGCTCGGGAAGTTTGCATGGTTCCTGCCACGCCGGGTGACGCGGGAGCAAGGCTGGCTGCTCGGCGGGAGCGCCGTGTTCTCCAGCATCCGTGCAATTTGCGCCCACACATGAGCTGTTCAATCCTTGGCGTTACCCCGAGAGCTGGGAAGTCTAAAAACACCCCACCTAAACCCATAACTCCCACCTAGAGCTGGAACTCCCTCCTAAACCTGTAACCCCACTTCTTTTGTGTTTAGAGTTGCCCGTGTGTTGGTGTCTGGGGTTCCTGACTCGAGTGAGGGGATGAACGTGGGGCTTTGGGGGTACAAGTTGTGCTGCTGAGGTGGTGGGGTGGGCAGGGTACGGTGCTGAATGTCTGTGGGTAAGGAACTGGGGTCAGTTAGGTGATGGAAGTTTGGCTTTTCCTTCAGAAGACATGGCTCGTGAGCTGCGCCGCGTTGTACTCCGGGGTGACATTGTGTTGTCATCTCATTGGGTTGAAAATTAGCGAAATCCTCTTCTGTTTTGACAGACGGGCTCCTCCTCGCCTCCGAAGTTGAGTCACGTATTTAAAGCACAGATCCCAGCACTTCCCTCTCGCAGCCCTGAAAGAGGAAGGATGGAGGAGGAGGAGGCTGAGGCCGGAGGTTCCTCTGCCCGCCGTGCTTGGGGCACAGGACTGGTGCTGCCACGCTGCCCGTGCCACAGCGAGGGGTCAGGGTTTGTGTCACCTGTCACACGGGTCCCTTGGCGTGTTGAAAACCTCCTGGAGTGCAGGACTAGGATGTGGGAGGGTGACACGCAGTGTCTGTGTGGCTCTTGCAGGGTGAGGAATATTCGACACTGAATCTCTTTTAGGAAAAGGGATTGTCTTGCCTGTCCCCTGTCCTGGCCTCTCCTGGCGTCCCTGACGGGGAGGGACAAGTTCAGCTGAGTGGTTGGACGTGTCCCTGGCTTCTCAAAGAGCAGCACAGCTGCTACTGTAAGTGATTCCCTCCAGCACCTTCCAGGCTGCTACGCTGGGAGTTTGGGCTCTGGGACGAGCCCGTGGGTTCTCGTCCTGCCCTCACGAGTGTGAGCTCCAGGCTTGGCTTACTCCTTTGGGACATTTGGGCAGAGCTGCAGAGCCCAAAGTTGGTGTGGGTGACTGCCCTAGACTTGATGTGTGCTGACTTCATTCCCTCCTCGGGTACACAGCCGGGCTGACGTCTCTGCTAGAGACCTGTGGAGAGGTATTTGGGTCCAAATTACTCATGGGCTGCAGCAGAGTGGAAAGATGACCTAAAGCAGGATCCACAGAAGTGATTGCATCGAGTTGTCATGTTTCAGATGATGCTTAAAAGAATCCTGATGGCCCATCGCCAGGAGCCACAGCTGAAATCTGTCTGCTGCCTGCTTTGGTTGTGCAGTGAACCTTTCCATTTGGAGTGTCATTCGTTAGGTTTGCTGTTCCAAAATCTTGTATAACAATTCAATCCTCCACTGGAGGATGAGGTGCAGTTGTGTCCCTCCCTGATGTGAATGGTGTCTTCTGGTCATGTTGTGCTTCCTCTTGGGTCACGAGCAACTGTTGCGTTGTTAAAGCTCTTCCTCCCAAATCAAAGGATGGTTTTGGTGAGGGTTTTGCTGAGAGTCACTTTGCTGAAGAGAACTTTTCAGTTCCAGGAGAGTTTGAGCTTGGGGAAAGTGTTCTAGCAGCAGTGAAAACATTAAGGCAAATTTTCTTCTCGTTCCAGAGCAATAGTCCATGGCAGAGACACATCATTAAATAAAATTATGCTGTGTGAGAGTTAATGGATGGTAGTTCTGCTTGCTGTGTAGTACCTGAGTGAAAAAAAGAAATTCCTCTACTTTTCTTATAGATTCTTACTCATCTTTCAGTTTCCCACCCTCAATTTTATTGTATTTTTTTGGTACCTGAAGTGTGGCATGCCTGAATTACCTGGTGTGAAGCAGCCACGGATGGTCCCAGCCACCCGTGACCTGACCCTGTTTTAGGCAGGATGAGCTGCTGCAGGGTGGGAGCAGAAAGCCAAGGGAGAGGTGATGGATGGAGCTGAAACGCCTGGTTCCTTACCCCGTTCTTGCTTGTGCCTTGGTGTGATTTATTATTAGGCAAAATTAGCCTTGTAATTTCTGTGGAGGCTGCTGTATGTAGGTCACTGCTGGCCTGACTTGGCAGGGTTGGCTGTGGTCAGGCTGCAGTGGTGGGGCTGGGAGCAAGGGCTCTTTGCCTGCTGCAAATTCCACTTTTAAGACTAATCTTTGGGCTGGCTGCCTTAATTCCACAAGGAAATGGCAGCTAAGCCAGGCTGGAGAGTGGGGACTGGTGTTACAGGTGATGAGTTTTTCTCTGTTGTATGCATTGCGTGATGGAGCTCTTTGTGGAACAGGTTTCCTTTAAAATAACTGAACAGACTTCGCTGCTGACTTCAGCTTCAGAGCAGGAGATCCTTACCTGGACTGCTGAGCTTTGAAAGGGCTGGAAGAGCTCAGGGCCGTGGAGGCTGCTCCTGTTTTTGGAGCATCCTTGGTGCTTTGGGGTGTGTTTGTGAAACTCTCAGTCTCGCTCTTGGCCTCATCTGATAACCCCTGAGTGATGGTTCCCCTGATGGAGAGGGAGGAAGGAGGATGGTGCTTGTGGTTTGCTGTTCTGGGAAGGTGCCTGGTGTGGAATTAGGGCAGGCAGCTCAGAGCTGATGGCTGAGCAGCTCTGTGGGTGAGTTCATACAGCCAAAGCACCCCATGTCCTGCAGCTCCATTTGAGAGCAAATGTTGCATCCCTCCAAAAATCCATCTGGAAAAACATCCCTCAGGTGAGGGAGTAAATGGAGATCCTGGGTTCATGCTCATGAGAAGCAGCTTGCTGTGTCTGCTGTTCTTCTGTCCCTCTCTCAGTGGAGAGATGTTTTTTTAAATTAGCTTTGCCATGTATTTTATATAATCAGAAATGTCTTCACTGTGGCCTTCTGTGCAAGATGTGGTTGAAAAGCTGTGGAAACTGCAGTGACATCACCGGGACTTTTCCAAAGCTGTGGTTTATTATCTCATTGACCGAAGGAGTCTACTGACTTGGGGTTTGAGTTTGTTTAAACCATTTAGGATTTGCCATAATCTCTGTTGAACACTTCACATGTTCTGAGCAGTCAGAGCTACGACTGTGATGGGCTGATAAGGCCCGGGAGCAGGGGTTTTCTCTTTGGTATGTGCTCAGGAAGTGGTGGGGCTCTTCCTCTCCATAATGATCTAATGCCATCAGCCATGGGTCTTGCAAAAGACGTTTCCCATGTTTTCAGGGGCGGGGAACTGAGGTGCAGTGATTTACTGAACGTCACAGGCGGCCCCGGGCTGAGGAGCTGAGCTGCCTGTGGCACGCAGGATGAAATCAGCCCCTGGATGTGTGATTTAATAGCCAAATACCACCAGGTAAAGCCATGATTTTGCCATTCACACCGAGCCCTGCTGGCTTTTGGCAAGATTAGTGCTGCCTGTGCCATCACTTGCACACACACAGCAGGAAAGCCTCGTTGCAGGGCAGTGCTGGTTCCTGGGGCTGCAGAGGTGATGGCTGTGCCTCGGGTAGGGAGTGATGCAGGGCAGAGGCTGGGCTTTGCCAGACACATGCTGTGAAACAACCAAAACAACGTGTAAATAGTAACTGAAGCAGTAACTGAAGCTGTCAGCCTGAGAGCCAGGTCTCCTGGCACGTTTGGAGCACGATGGGTGGGCACAGGTGATGAAGGCTCCCAGTAGATTCCTGCTGAGGAAGCCTGAAGGATCAAGTTGGTGACTTCTCGCAGACAGCTCTGGGATGTGCTGTGGTATCTGATGAGATGGAAGAGCTCTTGCTGGGTTGCGGGGTGGTGCTGGGACATGGGTGGCATCTGGAGGAGCGGCCGGCTCAGAAGTGTCCCTTGGGCTGATCTGTGGCACTGCAGCAGCATCACTCCAGGTTTATGATCTGCCACCTTCTCAGCCTTCCTGCTGGGCTCCTGTGCCCCACACCAGGGTGCTCCGAGGGCTTGGCTCTTTTCAAACCCATCCTTTTGCTGTGGTTTTGCTGTGGTCTGCTGAGAAACTGAGCGGGAAGAGCCCTCCTTCCTTCAGAAACCCTCTCCTCCTGCTCGGAGCACAGGCAGCCTCCCGACCTGCAGACGGCCCTCGCTGCAGAAGTCAGGCTCCTCTCCAAGCACAACTGGCCCCGCTCGTCTGGCCTCAAGTTGCAGCATTCAGGCAGCATGACCTCACCTCCTGGTTTCCAAGAATAACGTGCTGCCTCCCCTGCTGCCTCCCCTGCTGCCTCCCCTGCACCCTGATGGGCTGGCTGCGGGGCCAGGGTGGCTGCCACAGCCT